TGCAAAGTTTAATCTTCAGCAAGTGAAATGCAGCTCAGTTGGGTTAAGATCAGGTTGTTTGCATTAATAAACTCCTGGGGTGCTTTGGCCGTATGTTGTGGCTCATTGTCCATCTGTATTATGAAACGCTGCCTAATCAATCTGACTGCATTTAGCTGGATTTGAGCAGACAGTCTCTGAACACCTCACAGTTCATTCGTCTGTTTCTGTCCTGTGTGACATCATCAGTGAACACGAGTGTCCCAGTGTCACTGGCAGCCGTGCACGCCCAAGCCATCACACTGCCGACGCTGCGTTTTACCGATGATGTGGTGTGCTTTGGATCATGAGCTGTTCCACACCTTCTTCATACTTTATTCTTGCCATCATTCTCGTAGAGGTTGGTCTTGGTTTCATCTGTCCAAAGCATGTTTGTCCAGATCTGTGCTGGGTTTTTTAGCAAAGTCTAGTCTAGCAATCTAGCCTTTCTATTCTTGAGGCTTATGAGTGGCTTGCACCTTGCAGTGAACACCCTGTATTTACTTTCATGCAGTCTTCTCTTTATGGTAGACTTGGATATCGATACGTCTACCTCCTGGAGAGAGCTGTTCACTTGGTTGGCTGTTGTGAAGAGGTTTCTCTTTGCAATAGAAAGAATTCTGCGATCATCCTGGAAAGCTGTCTTCCTGTGGACGTCCAGGAGTCCAATCCTAATATAGTAGCAACTTCTCCGATGGGTTTTTTCTGTCTTTGTGAGCTTAAGCATTGGTTGTTTCACCTTCATGGAGTGCTGATTTGACCACCTGTTGTCCATTCACAGCAAAATCTTCCAAATGCAAGCACTTCACCTCAAATCAACTCCTTTTATCTTACCTTTACCATTATTTTTCAGTTCCTTCCTGTCTCCTTTTGTGTGACCAGGGTGACGACTGCTCTATCAGCTGTCTCGCAGGTCTGTACGGGATCAACTGCTCCTCATCGTGCTCCTGCCAAAACGAGATCTCCTGCTCACACATTGATGGTTCCTGCATCTGCGGAGAAGGTAGTGCTTTACCAGCACGTTCTTAAAGACAGAGTGTTGAAATTTCCTTCATTATTATGTTTTAGAATTTGACAAGAGGAACAACTATCAAAATTGTTTTTGTAAGGAGTCACAGTCTTCACTGTAGCGTGTTGTGTTTCCCTGAATGTCTAACATATTCAGCAGAGCCTCTGGTACTTCTTTCTAATCGAAAAATGTACATGTGACTGTTCCTGTGGAGAAGCTGCAGAGCATATCGTTGAAAAACTGCTATTTTAAGTACTACATATTCTGTTGACTATTGAAATTAAAATGTTGATAGTGTTGCATTTATTTGAATCTGAAGAAAACCAGGCCTATCTGAAGTGAATGGGGAAGGGTGTATAACTTGAATTTCTTTTTTTTATTTTATTTTTTTATTAGTTTTCACAAATAGTACATAATTACATAACATAACAAAGTGTACAATTCGTAACCAAAAATAAATAAATAAATAATTTAAAAAAAAACAAATAAACAAAACAAAAACAAACAGACTGATAACTAAGCACAGGACACCAGCTCAGTTCCATCTAAAAAATAAATAAATAAATAAAGAGAGAATACAATACAGTACAATACCTGTGGTCCCAGTAGTACGTTGCAGTTTGAACCCTCAAGAGAATCCTTGTAACATAATATTAGAAACATCAGGTTCCACATAATTCAAGTATGGTTCCCACACCATAAAGAATTGATCTGTTTTTGAGTGCAGTACACATGTAAGATATTCCAATGGCACTAGATCCAACACTACTCTTTGCCAACCTTAAATAGTTGGTGCTTTTTCATAAATCCATTGGAGTGGTATATTCTTCCTTGCCGCATAGGTGAGAACACAGTACAGTCTCCTATTATTCTTGGATATTAATCGCCGGCTGGGGAGGCCCAGTATGAGAGACAGAGGGTCCATCTCCAATTCACAACCGAAAATCTTCTCCATTTCAGATAACACATTAGACCAATATTCTTGCAATTTCAAACATGACCAGAAGCTGTGAGTTAGGGTACCAATTTCTATCTTACGTTTGAGGCACATGGGTGAAAGGGTAGGGTATAACTTGAATTTCAGTGATCACCAGGAGATAAAAATGCTTGTTTTTATTTCAAGAGGTCAAGTGTGATAAAAAAAAAAAAAACCTTTAAAAAGATTAGGTTACATGGCCTTGACATAATGTTTCCAAACTCTCTTTATTCAAGTTGTGCTTCTAGTGCACATACAAAAGTTAGTTTTTAGCTAATTCCACAAGATCACTAAACAAATTTGGGAATTTGCTGCTTTTTCTTTGTTATATTTCTCAGTGAAATTAATGTGTGTAAAATATTTTCTACACTTTCTGACTTTTCTAAACTCTTAAAGCAAATTGAGAAAATTTCAAACTATTTGATATTAAAACGTTCCCGCCTTGAACTCCTAGCCCTGTTTTTGTTTGTTTGTTTGTTCTTATTGATCCTGCATTTGAAAACCAGAAACCCCAAATTTTCTCTAATCTCACCATTGAAACTTCTCTAAAGATGTGAAGACATCAACTGTAACAATCTCCAGTCCTTACCTGGTCTTTTTTTCTGCTTGCTTAATATCTCTCAATATCAGCATGTTTAAATATTTATACACCTCTGAACGTGGTTGGGACCACAGGTAATTAAAATAGAGAGACATCTGAAGAAGCAGAAAACAGGACCAGGGCCTGAGAGCTTTGGTTAGAACAAGAACGAACCCTGTGAAACTCTCTCTCGTTAATCACCCATGACTTAATTTACTTTGATGTACTTTAATATGCTCCGTGCTTTTAGTGTGAAAAGCCCAGGAAATGGTGAAGGATGGAAGGGAATGACAAATTAGAAACATTTCTTATTACTTACATTCAAGTTAAGCAAAGCCTTTAAAAAGATAAATACATTTTTAAAAGTCATTTAAACAATAATCCAAAATATTACTGAACAGTTGAATTATCAGGATATATGTTTAGCATACGCTCTGATAATTCAATGTACAGCCCTGAGTAAAGATGAACTCCTGTGTCCTGCAGCTCGGCTTATTTCTATGACTTTTGTCACTGCAGGAAAAACTCAAACAACAACCAGACAGACTTACTTGGAAGAGGAAATGAAGTTAAACAGAAAAACGATTACTCAAACTGTTTGTTGGAAACACTTATCAAAGATGGGAAAGGGACTTTTTTTTAGCTCCAAATAAACTACTTTTGATAATCTGTTTAAACTGTAAATATGTCCGTCTGTCGGCTCGCGCCTCTTGGACACTGTTGCAGCTATAAAATAGGCATTGACATGTATTTAGTCGTTATAACAAATACAGCAAAGATGGATAATGTAGAGAAAATAGGATCCACATTCTTATAAACCACAATTAAACCGAATTAGAAGAAAAGTCATAAAATAAATCAAAATCACAAGGTCAAACATATGGAAATATAAACCTTATAATACTTAATTGCAGAGTAAAGTTTCATTACAAACTAAAAGGATCTGTCGTCTGAGCAGGTTGGCAGGGTGTCGACTGCTCCATCCCTTGCTCCAGTGGAACGTGGGGACTGAGCTGCAATCAGACGTGTCAGTGTGCCAACGGGGCAGCTTGCAACCCCGTCAGTGGAACCTGTGCTTGCTCCCCAGGCTGGACGGATGAATACTGTGACGTAGCTTGTCCTGTGAGTGCTCATAGCATTCATTTTCTTCTCTTTATTCATCAGCTCGGACATCTACTTTGCTTCTTTAATGTTTCGTTGAAGAAAAAATGTGTTTCCTCTGATGTTTGTCTTGGTGCTGTTAGGATGGATCGTACGGCTTGGATTGCAGAGAGAAATGTGACTGCGTTAACTCCGATGGCTGTGATCCAGTTACGGGTTTCTGCCGCTGTCTTGCAGGTTGGACGGGTGAGTTATGGAGCTGCAGTTTGAGCCGACATTTGAAAATGCTGTGAATCCAGTAACATTAGAAAGAACACCTATGATGTTTGGCAACTGTGGTATGATTTGTGCATTTCTGGTTGCATATTGGTGGTACAGTAGAATATTTATTCATACCAGCACGGCTGCTTCAGTCTTTTGACAAAATGCCATTCAAAGCATTTTCCCAATTTTGCATTCACTGAATATTCATAACAATAATAACCCTTCTGCTGTCAGATTGCTGTAACTGCACTATATTATTAAAAGTATTAAGTAACTTTAATGACACCCTTTTCCACTATAACAGCTTCCAGTCTTGTGGCAAAGTTTTCCTGTATTCATGGGAATTTTTGGCTATTTTATTAAACATTTGTGAGGTCAGACTAGACCCGGATGAAAAGTCCTGCCTTGCAGAAACCGCTCTAACACATCCACTGCTCTAGAGTCCAGTAGCTGGGTGCTTTACACCACTTGCATTGCATTTGGAGTGGTTCTTATATAGCACTTTTCTATTCTATAGAATTTTATTCTATAACGTATAGTTCACTGACCCAACATTGAATATAACATCATATCACAAAAAAGTCATATTTGTCTTTTCCTTTACTTTTTTCAACTAAAGAGTGAACAGAAGGATTGAAACATGATCTCTGAAAAACAGGGACAAAGTGGGACAGGGCCTAATGTTGAGCACAGTAATGTAACATATATCTTGTGCTGAAACAATGGCAAACGGGCTGGTTCTTATATAGCAAATAACATTGAGTAATCAGAGCCCATCTTTCCATACCGCCCATATCACCCCAATAGAGTACTTCGCTCTCAGATTGCTGTCTTTCTTCTGTTTTTTAGGATATTAAAAAGTAAATTGGGAGGCTTTCAGCTCTCAGATCCCTCTTCTGTGGAACCAGTTCCCAGCTTGAATTTGAGGGACAGACACCAGCTCTACTTTTCAGATTAGACTTAAAACTTTCCTTTTGGACAAAGCTTATGTCAGCCTGGTTCTGCTGGAGGTTTCTGCCTGTTAAAAGGGAGTTTTTCCTTCCCAGTCTCACCAAAGTTGCTCAAAGGGGGTCGTCTGATTGTTGATAGAAGCATTAAGCACTTTGAGGTGACTGTTGTTGTGATTTGGTGCAATATGAATATGAACTATATGAAATTGTTACTTTACTCGAGCACTCAAAGTGCTTTATAAACTAGGGGTGCAACGATACACAAAATTCACGGTTCGGTTCGATATTTTTTCGATACAAAAAAATGTTCATGCCTTTTT